ATTAATCCACCAAATTGATGTTTTGTATAATTACTTTCAATATGTAATGGTTTATATGTTTTGATTGGAACAACTTGGTCATTTGAAATATATGTTTTAATTTCTTTTTTTAATTGTTTCCATGCTTCTTTACCTATTTTCTTGAAATGATGAATATCTTTTCTGTAATACCAATTTGATTTACCTATGAAAATAAAAGTATTTCCATATCTAGAATTCCTTTGTTGATCTTTTTTTCCTAATTCTTTTTCAATTGGCTCAACAACATTCAATAATTTCTTTTGATTAATAAATCCAATCAGTGCAATAGCTTTATAAAATGATCTTTCTCCATTCATATCAATTTTAAAATCTTCAGGATAGAAACTACTTAATGGAGAAGAAGTTGAATTCATTAATTGTTGAAATTCTTTTGGAAGGCAATGTTTTGATTGAGGTGGTAAGACTGACATTAATTGTTCAAATGGCCTAAAAGGTTTTCCTTGTGTATATTGTACTTCAAATTCCGGATCAAGTAATTTACCAATATCTTTAGCAAAAGGAGCATAGTAATAAGGATAATACCAATCCCATGATTGACACCCTTCGTAATAATAACTAAATACCCAATTTAGTCCTTCAACATATGAATCAACAATTTCTATAATATTATTTTTTTCTTTCTTATAATCTACATGAAATTTTTGTTGGTAATATCTTTCTTCGTATCCTTGTTCTCCTAATTGTATTTCATCATGCTTTAACTCTTCCATTTGGCGAACTACTTCTTGTTTCTTTTTCTCAAGACTTTCTCTAATCAATTGAGACTCTTCTTTTGCTAACTCCACCTCTTTTATACTCTTTACTTTAATTTCAGTTTTACGTTGAGGTAATGCTTCAGTTCGATTTTCAAAAGCAGATTGAATTTGATAATCTAATTCTCTCATCTTTTTGTCAAAATAAAGTTGATCTTCTTTTTCTTTTCTTAGTCTTCTGTTAACCAAAAGTTGCTTCTCTTCTTTCCCTACAAGATGAAGGAACCTTTTAACTATCTTAAAATTAATAGTTCCATTTTCGGTAATATAGCCATTTTCTGGAAGAAATTTAAGATAGATTTTAATCAAAATGTCAATTGCTCCTTCTTGAATGTCTAGAGAAGGGATATGAGGTAAGAAATCATTCCCAACTAAGAAACAGAAGAAAATAAAATCATCTAAACAACGTTCAAAATCATATTTTTCTACTTTAATTGTATTATTTAAATATTGTCTAAGAACATGACAATCAACAAAAATAAATGGTTTTGTGATTGGGTCTAATGGTGCTACTCTATTATAATTTTTGCAACTATCCGAAGAATGATATTCACCACAAATATAACACTTATCTCCTTTATTATATGGCTTATCTCTGATAATACTAAAATACCTTTCATGAGTTGCTAATGCTAACATAATCAAATCTGCATCCAACCCATACATACAATGTCTTATATATGGATTATAATTTTTACAATCCTTTTGTCTTCTTATAAAATCAATAATTTTATGTTCTCCTTCTCCTGGAACACTTGAATCACTAAATATAACAATAATACTATTCCAATATTTAGATGAATTCATTCTTTCCTTAATATAGGCTTTAATAACTTTACTAACAGCCTCCATAAATTCAGTTCCAGGAGTTATACAATTAGAATCAATTGGTTTTTCTTTAAAAACACTTTTTTTTTCTTCAAAACTTTGGTTTACCATATTTTGTGCTGTTTTAAATCTACGACTTCGTTGCTGGTTCATTTTAGCACGTGGAGCAACACCATCAATTGCTATGTATAAAAGTTTTCTTGGTCTAACTATGTCTACCATATAATCAATATACCGAGTTAATAAAACAAATACATCAACATTTGTTTCTGGTGTTTGTCTATCAGTAGGGTGATAACAAGGATGAATTAACCCGTTCAAATCAATATAAAAATTATCATACTCAACTCCATTAGGGTTTGGAGATAACAAGTCATCATTTTCTATAGAACTGTTTTTCTTACAGTCATTGGTAATGCTGACATATTTTTTTGTAAGCCAGGCAAAGAATGAAGGCACTCCCATGGCTCTATCTTTTGCTCATTTTATTAGTTCTTTTACAAATAGTTTTATGTTATATATTACATAAAATTTTTTATTATTTATTTTTAGAAAAATTTTTATCTCAAAATATTCTAATTTTTTAATACACTAAAAAATCAAGTTCTTTCAAATCACATTTTATTTCTTAATATTTTTTTTTTGAATGTTTTTATTAAGAGAAGTGCGTTTTTTTTTATTTTCATAGAGAGATGGTATTTGAAGTTATTGAATATATCAATTTTATTTATTTTTTTGGTTTAAATAACAAATTAAAATGATGAAAAACAAAATGAACTGAAAATAGGATTAATGGAGGAAGTTAAAGAGAAGCAACAAGCATTAGATTTCAGTGTTAATGGAATTGAAATTCATTTTCCATATCAGTTCATTTATCCAGAACAATATCAATTCATTAAAACAGTAACTAGTGGAGTTACAGATAATAAAAAACCACCACATAAACAAATTATTATTGAAATGGGTACTGGAAGTGGAAAGACTGTAAGTATTATCACTGCAGCAAAAGGGTTATTGGATAATCAAGGAAGTAACATTTCACATACAATTTATTGTACTCGTACTATTGATGAAATTAAACGAATTTTTAATGAACTAACAAAATTATCAATACCATCAATTGTACTAGCATCAAGAGCACATTTATGTTTATTGGATGATGTAAGAGAAAGTAAACATGCATCTTTACTATGCCAAGAAAAAAGAGATAAAGGATTATGTCCATATTATCATGATATAGAAGATGAAATACCAATTGTTGCTGGAATAGATGAATTAGTTCAATTTGGTAAACAACATAGACGATGTCCATATTTTTGTTCAAGAAAAAATTTTTATAAATCACCATTTATAGTTTGTACATATAATTATATACTTGACCCTAAAGAAGAAAATGTTACTGTCGGTAAAATGATTGATTTAGATCAGACATTACTTGTTTTTGACGAAGCACATAATGTCGATAATATTGTTGTTGATGCACAAACACTTACATTATCATTAGAAACAATAGAACTTGCAACAATTTCATTAGCCCGTCTTACAAAACTTCTCTCAGTTGAAGCATCAAAAAAACCTTTAGAAAATGAATATAAACGACTTGTAGAAGGTCTTAGACGTTCAGAATTAACTAATAATATTGAGGAAGGAGAACCATATTTTTATAATGAAAAAAAGAAAACACCAGAAGGAGATATTGATTATGACAAAGTCATTCCAGGAACTTTTAGAAGTTCTAGTCAATTTGTTCTTTTAATGAAAAGAATAGTAAACTTTTTTAGAGAGAAATTGCATGAAGCTCCTACAAAAAAACAACAACGAATTAAGGAACAACACTCAATTCAAGTAAAAGATATTGTTACTGGATTATGTGATTCTTCAGTCTTAACACCAGAAATCATTAAATTTATTCCTAACAGACTTCATTTACTTATTCAAACACTTGGAGATGAATATGGAGGAAGACAGGATGTAAAAGGAGATTCATTTTATTATGATGCTTTATATCTTGTAGCAGATTTTGCAGCATTACTATGTTCTAGTCAAGAAGGATTTTCTTATGTTCCTGATGTAGTGAAAATAGACAAAGATGATTATTATCATTCAGTATTAAATTTAGTTTGTGTTGATGCAGCAAATGCTATCCAACCAATATTAAATAGATTTCATTCAATAGTTTTTACATCAGGAACATTAAGTCCATTAAAGACATATATCAATATTCTTGGGCTAAAGAATGTTGTTGAAGAAAAACAAATTAGATCACCAACAAGTGATATAGGGAGAAGGATTTGTCCATTATTTGTAACAAAAGGATTTGATCGTATTGCTATCACTTCTCAATTAGCAGACTCTAAGTATGCTGGAGCACGAAGTGATCCACTAATTCTTTCATCTCAATTTTTCTATAAAGCTGATCGTTTAATTCTCCATTCTTATGGTAAATTGATTGTAGAATTATCTAAAACGGTACCAGATGGTGTTTTATGTTTCTTTCCAAGTTATGCTTATATGAATATTTGTATTTCTTATTGGAATGAGATGAAAATATTTGAATCAATTGCTCAAAACAAACTAATATTTATTGAATCAAAAAATGCTTATGAAACATCTCTTGCTTTCCAAAATTATAAGTTAGCTTGTCACACTGGTAAAGGTGCTGTATTACTTTGTGTTACACGTGGTAGATTATCTGAAGGAATAGACTTTACAAATCATCTTGCTAGAGCTGTTTTAATTATAGGAGCTCCATATCTCCAGTCAAGTCCTATCCCAATAAAAGAAAGAGTTGAATATCTTAATAATAAAAAAATTATTTCAAAAGATGATTATTTAATATTTGATGCTATGAGAACTTGTAATCAATGTCTAGGAAAATGTCTAAGGGGAAAAAATGATTATACAGTTGTGATATATGCAGACAAAAGATATAAAATTAATGATCGTAATGTCAAGGCATCTATGCCACAATGGATTCTTGATGCTATTCAAAAAAGATATATTGATCTTTCTGCTGATCAAAGTATTGTATTAGCAAAAGAATTTTTAATGAAAATGAGTTATTCATTTGACACTCAATTCCCAATTGAAGAAATGATTGGTAAAACATTATGGACATTAGATAATATTCGTAAAGAACAATTAACAACACAAAATTAATTATTTTATTATTATTACTATTCTTTACTATTCTTTTCATTGAAAGTATTACAATTCTTCATTTTTTTTTTAGAATAAATAAATTAATTAAATAGAAGTGTGTCATTCATTGTTAAATCAGTTTTCTTTCTATTTTTAGAAATGATAATGGAATCTATTCCATAAAAATGAATCTAATTAACAGATCTTTGTTGGATCAAATATACACATATTGGAATAATGAAAAGTATAATAGAAAAGATAAAGTCTGATGGTAATATTGAAGAAAGTCAACATCATCGAGTGACTAATAATCAGTCATTTGAACAGAGAAATGAAATTATCTTTAAACCTAAAATAGGAACAGAACAACTCTTGAGAAATGCAATGAATAATAATATTACCTTTTTCTCACAAGATTCTGGTTCTATTGGTGTTACAGCTGAGGAATTGATGAAAGAAAATTCAACAAATTTGGAAATAACAAATACAACAGACCCAGAAACACATACAGACACACAAAAAACTATTTCTTATACTGGAATTGGAACTCTTAAAACTGAAACACCATCATCTCAAAAAACAATGATATTCAAACCTATAGAAGATATTGAAAATGAAGACGCTTTGTCTGGTGAAAAAACTCTTTCTATGGGAAGTTCTCTGGATCGAGATGATGATGATATTGAACAATTTAATAATAAAAAAGGTATGGAAGAAGAAAATAATGACATTCTTTCAGATGACCATACTATTGAAACACTTACAGCAGACTCTGATAATTCTTTAATAGAAAGTGATGAAGAAAAAAATAAACAACAAGGAAAACCAATTTTTTCAAAACAACCACTAACAAGAATTGAATCAAAGTATTTTGATGAATCTTTATTAGGAAATGTTCCAACTATTGAAAAAATTGGTGGAACGGAAGGAGAAGATTCTTACTTTAAGAAAACACAAAAAGAAGAAATGAAACACAATGGCTCATTGAAGAATCAAAACAATACTTATTTTCACACAGTTTCAAGTAAATATGAAGATGATAGTCTCTCATCAAAAGAAACAATTGCATATTCATGTCATTCATTAAATAAAAAATACGACTCAGTATGTGAAAGCACAACAGCAAAAGAAATTGAAGAATTAAATGAATTACTTGAAGAAAGAAAAATTAATAAAAAATCATTTTATTTTGACCGAAGTGATGAAGAAGATGAAAAGTTAAAAACAATTGCAGAAATATATAACGAAGAAGAAATGTTAAATCAACCAGAGCTAAATGATAGTAATGACTCATCAAGAGATACAATTATGACACTTGGATTAAATGAACATAGGTTTCAACAAATTGTAGATTCTCTTGATCTATTTGATGAATATAATGAATTAAATGAATTTGAGAGAGAAGCATATGCTAAACTATTTGGTAAAGTTGGACTTTTAAAAGACCATATCCAAGTTGGAAGAATTCAACAACCTACTCCAAGAGAATTTCATTCATGTTGTGAAAAAGGAGAAAAAGAAGAAACTATTAAAGAGTTTTGTTCAAGTTGTAGTTCAATAGAAGAGCTTGAACTATTCTTGAAATCAACTTGTAGAGTTCTTGGACTGAACTGGGATGAAATGAAACAATTTTTTAACACAGAGTCATTAGGAAAAATGAAAGAGTCAATCATTAACTTATTTAAAGAGATTGAATTGAATGAGTAATTGAAATGATTTTAACTTTTTTTTAATAATTTGATTTAATTATGATTGACTTTTTGTTTAATTCTCATCAATTAAAAAATGGATGAGATGATTATATCTTAATGAAAAGAAAAACATTTAAAACAGTCTTATTGAAAATAAGAATTTTGAATTAACTAAATTCATAAAAGAAGGGGATGAACGAAAAAGAAGATGAAGATATAGATTATGAACAAATCAGGAGAAGGTATTTTAACTCTCAACCTCCAATAAGAATAAGAACTATTAAACCTGCAAAATCAGAGCCTATTCCAAAAGATCATTATGAATTATTTCACCAATCAAGTAAACCAATTCCAATAAAATGTCACTCTCCACAATCGCCTTCTATATTTATGCCACCTCATGAATATAAAAAATTACATCCAGAAGATAGTTATTCTAATTCTCCTCCTTCAGAAGAAAGGGTGTAATAGAAACTATTTTAGTCTCAATCAGTAGATTTCATTTCAATAAAATAAAAGAATCTATTGTTATTCTCAATGAACTGAACTCAATAAAAAATAAAGTATATGAGTTAACTTAAATTCTTTTTACAATAACATACATTATTTTTTTTTAAAGAAGTAACAAAAAGCAAGATCATATATCATAAAAATAGTATAAATTATCTTATTTAAGAAATATAGATAATGGATTAGCATTTTAGTTTAAATTCAGCCATTGATATCAAATAAATTTAGTTTCTTTCACTTTAAAAAATTATGTTAATTTGATATTTAACTTTATTAATGTTGAATCTCTTAGTTCTTATAATATACTCAACTTTTATTTAATTGTGCTTCACTTGGTCATTAAAAAATAATCCTAAATTTAGTTCAATTAGATATTGTTGCATGAAATATTTAAATAAAAGACAACTTTATAACGCTTAAACAATCATAAATAAATATATAAATATTTATTTATATATTATATGAATAATTATTATATATAAGTAACGTTTCTTATTTAAGATTTTTGATATAATGGAACTTAGTATATGCATTTTATCTTTCTTATTTGTCTAATATGGGTTAATTTTGGGTTACAGAATAATAAAAGAACAAAATAATTAATCACAAATCTTTATTTTAAAAAGGTGTTGCTACATATTACCAATTACTTCTTTATGATCTAATTAGTATCATCAATGTATTGATTGACTAGTGTTTTTTCTCACAAAAGTTTTGAAATATATAAATAAAATGTCATAAAAATGAAAAAATAAAAAGCATTTATGGAATTATAGATATTGCCAAAGAATAATGAAGTTACTGGCATTATTATTTGTTTCAAATTTTAAGTTCAGTTCTATTAAAAACATCAAAGTTTTTAACAAAGCAATGAAACAATACAAAATTATATCTTTTTCTATAATCTTTACTATTCAAAAAAAGAAAAAAATTAAACAAAAAAAACCACAAACAATGGCAGCCGAACAACAAACAACACCCGCAGTAAAGTGGCCATTTTATATTGAGGATGAAACAGATTTTAGTACCCTTGGGATAATTTCTCTTGTGTTATCAATTGTATCATTCATTTATAAAGTTTGACTTCTTTAATTTTTATTTAATACTATCAACAAGACTAATGCATTAGAGCCGTGTCACTGTCATGGCTGCTCTTATTTTCTTTGTCCTTTCAATTCCTCACAAACAAAAAGTTGACCTTCAGATTTCAGCTCTTATTGTGTCTGGTTTTCCCCTTCTTATTGCTCTTGCATTTGCATATATGTTCACTCCTGATAGTTATGCTTAATTGATTAATTTCTTAAAACAGGAATAATTTGGGGGTTTTTTATTCATACAATATTTAATAAAATGATAAATAACACAAGAGATTAATAAGAAAAGAATAATGAAGAAATAGTTTGCTGTCTGTTTGACAGACAATAAAAGTACTGAAAGTAACTAAAAATGGTTTTTGTGGAATTTACAATACCATTATAAAACAAGTAATTAATAAAAAAAATGAAGAGGAAAAGAAAAGAGTGGAAAAAACAACAGAAAAATATCAAAAAACTCAGATTGGTTTTATAAAGACCAATGAGAAAAAGTTAAGGAGAAGTCATCTTCAAAAGAATGAAACTAAATAAACTTAAACCCTACGATGAATAAGTTAATGATATATATACTTTGCTTTATCATAAGTGGAACATATGCATTTGAACTTGATGGACTTCCAGCTTGTGAAAATGGACCATTAGAAGATTCATCTGATTTTGCATTTGTTGATGAGATGAATTGGTTTGAAATATTATTAGGAATTGCTATTATCTTTTTCTCATTTGTATGTTTTGTCCCACAGATATATAAAATATTAAAAAGAAGAGATGGGAGTGGATTATCTCCTTCTTTTTTACTTATTCTTGCATTTAATCAAGTATTTGCTGTTATTAATGCCACTATAACAAATTCACCAACTATGCATAGTTGTACTGTTATTGGATGGAAATTATGTTTACCACCATTATTATCATATTTCCAAATTTGTGAATTAATGATTTTATGTTACCCAATGTTTGCTTTATTCCTTGTCTTCTATAAAAATAAAAAAGAAAAAGGATACAAACGTTCACTAATATATTTTATCTCTGCTTGTATATTTTTAGTATTTTCTATTATTTTGATTTTAACTTGTTTAAAGTTATGGGGTGAATGTTCAAAAATTACTTATGCTGTTGGATTTTGTTTTGGAGTTGGTTCAACTGTTACAACATTGATAGAATATCTCCCTCAAATTTGGAGGACTTTTAGAACAAAAGAATGTGGTTCAATGTCATTTACTACTAATTGGGTTACTACTGTTGGTACTGGTATTATTACATTTTATATGATCTTTTCTACAAGCCAACATTTCACAACATTAGCTAGTTATATTGCATCATTAATTCAACACATTGTATTATGTGCATTACAAATTAAATATGATTATATTGATAAATGTACTGTTCCTATGGCAAAGAATGAAGTTAAAAAGAAAGTTAATACATTTAGAAAATTATTCCATTTACCATTATATCCTGTAGAAGAAGAAATGGTGTTTGACCATCTTCCTCAAGACAATAGTGATGAAGAAGGTTGTGAGCTTGTCCAAACAAATAAAACAGAATACCCTCCAAATAAATCTCCATCTCCTTCAACTGGGGCATCAAATGATACTTTTTATGATTTAGATAAGGAAATAATAGGAGGTGATAGTGAAATTGTTCTTTAAAAATTGAAAAATTCATTTTTTTGATTGATTTAGTAATTTGGTTAGATTTTTCCAATAGACAATCCTAAAAGAAATTTATTCTTCCTCTTAACGCTTTTAACCATATTTTTTTTTATTATGTTTTTGTCTCAGATCAGAGGTATTTTTCGTTTAACTGCTTATTCTCAATTAACTTATTTTTCTAACAAGAAAAATAATCAATAAAAATTCTTAAAAACCTTTTTTAATTGTTTTTAAAAAATTTATAATTGGAATTAGTAATATCAATCATTTTTTAACTCAAAATAATAATTTTAATAAACAAAGTATATTAAACAAATAATAAAACAATAATAGACTCTATTTTGAAATAAATGTTTTAACAAAATGTTCTGTCACACAAATTGTATTGAAATATTACCTCAAAATTTTTATGAATTTTTATAGAAATATTTATATAAATAGAAATTGGAAAAAATTGGTTTAATGATTTATTATTAGAACAATAATTCTTTGAGATTAATAACTTTATAGTACACACATTCATCCTATTCATGACATTATTCTATAATAAATTCATGAGTAGAATATAAACAATTTTCATTCTATCAATTCATTTAAATTTAATTAAACAACTGACCATTTAAATCTTAAAAAAATTATTTCTTGAGTTAGAGAATTTATTATGGTTATATGAATTTATTCACAATAACACAATAAACAAATATAATAAAATTAATTACATACAAGTCAAAAATAATGTTGTTTATTTAATATTAATAGAATATTGTTAAATACAATTTAAAATCATAAAAAAATATAATATAAACAAACTATATATTAAACTTAATATACTTCTTTATAAAATATATATAATATATTTCTCTTATACAAACATATATTTATTGTTATTTTATATCTTTATTTTTCTCAATAATAAACAAAACAATAACCATCGATTTTTATATGTTCTTATTAATTCTTGCTATGACTATAATTATTTGAATTTAATTATATATAATATTATAATAAGTAGCAAGATTAATAATAACTAATGATAATTATAAGATGGTTTTATACAAATAAGTTATTAATCAATATTATCAAATTCATTTATCACATACTATTTTCTTGGTATGTTCATACCATCTT